ATCGTAGTCGGATCCGTGCTGTTGACTGAAACCTTGTGCGACTAGACGAGCCTTGAACCGGATATCTTCTTCGTTGGGGCTTTGCTTGATTTTGTATACCCACTTGCAGCCCACAGCTTTCCGTCCTGGAGGGAGATCAGCCAACGTTCACGTCTCGTTTGCGTGAATTTGACTCTATTTCCTTCTTCGAGTTCGCTGCGTACGATGAGTTCATCGCCTCCTTGAAGGATTTTGGTTCATCATCGATCGTGTCTCTAGCCGCGATTGTGTTGCTCGATTCCGTTGCCAAACACTGCTCGGAACCATCTTCAGCAGGAAGTACGTACTCCCTTCCGCTGCGCCTCAATAACTGTAACCGAGGTAGATTTGAAGATTGTCGCGGAGGGAGCACGGTCTCGTCACCTATCGTTTCCTGGAATTGTGGGATCCTCTGGAGCTGGAACATTCTCGAAATCCACCAGAACCATCGTTTGTTGCTGCTTTGCCGGAAGAACGCATGCACCAGCACCCTCTTCGATGAAACAAACATCTCTGCTTTTCAAGAAGCTCTTCGAAACAGGATTGACTATATCCTTTTGTCTCCTCCTCGAATGCAGTTAACACGCACGGTTTTTGATTTCGAATCCCACTTTTGTCGTTTCTGCTTTGGTACTTGCACCATTGCCTTCGTTCCAAAGACCTTGACATAGGAAATATCAGGTTACCTGCCCGCTGCCGTTGCCTCCGGCCTGAAAAACTTCGGAAGGTTTGCTTCAAACAGCATGCAGCGTGCTCGTTCTGCAATCGTCTTGTTCTTCCGCTCTTGATCCGCTCTTACTGAATGCAAGACGGGTGTGCTTCCCCATTTGACAAACGGTACAAACAATCGTCGTGGTTTTCACTTGAGATTTGCATATCACTTCCCAGTGGCAATTATCATCTCGCCAACACCAACCATCACGTAAAACCTCCGAGTGCAACCCCAATGTTCGAGCACAGGCGCAAGCACGAAACATCAAGCCTGAGTTCATTTACGCTGCGCTCACCCCAGATTTTGTTCATTTCTCTCAAGTTCGATGTTCGTGTGTAAACATGAGCCTGAGAGAGAACACGCGCTCTGAATGAACTTGCACTTCTGAAATTTGAACTCACGCTCAGCGCCGTGCATGTTTACGTGAAGACTGCTTGCCACACAATTCTCGATGAACATTTCAAATGGTCCTATCTGCTTTGATCGATTCTCTTCATCGACTTTCTCTTTCGTTAATAACTCAGCTGCAAAACCTTTCCCTGTTGTATTTGACGTTTCGGACGCTAGATAAGAACCTCCTTTATCAAACTATGTGGTAGAATTAGCGCGAAATCTGTTTGCATAGCAGTGGTTATGAAAAGAGAAAGTCGATGAAGAGAATCGATCAAAGCAGATAGGACCATTTGAAATGTTCATCGAGAATTGATTAGTTTCTTCACGCTGCCATAGCTGAGATGACCCAACCGCTTGTGTCATGTTTCAAGAGATGCACCGGTAGAACTCAACATCACTTTACCAGCTACTTCTAATTGCGCTAGCTTGAACAGATCGTTTCTTGACAATCTGGACTACCGACAGCAGGTTTGTCGATAGATCCGGTATGAGCTGCACGTCGTGAACAGGAATTCCATCTTTATGCTTCTGGTACACAGGATACATAATGGGCGTTCCACATCGATTTTCATCGTTTCCTTGTTGGCAGCTACAACTATTCCATTTGACTTACGCATGTCCTTGAAGAGCTCCAGATCCCTTGTCATATGGCGAGTTGCTCCTGTGATTTCTATATCGGGGTACACTTTGTTAAAACCAAAATTGGAACATGTAACAAAATTATGAAAGATTTTGAACGTTAATAACTCAGCTGCCCCTGGACCAATTTCAATAATTTTATCACTAATCGATCAGAAATATTTCTACGCTACTATTTAGAACATTATCATTTTTCAAAATGTCACTATTGAAAATTGCACGAATGTGCAACTGTTCCTATGATAGTTAAAATAATTCCCGATTGCCTGAGAAAAGCGATTTCCCTAACACAGATTTCAAAGATGAATTCCATCCGGTATCACCAAACGGTGTTTATTCAATCACCGCGTGGTGAGTGGTGGTGTTCTCCAGTACACAACTAAAGTCTGCGTGCAAACAGCGATCTGTAGCCCACATGAGCATCCATAGAAGGAGGAAGAAGTCGTACCGCTATTGATCGGAATTAGTGGGCCATCTATGTCAAGCGCGTCATATTAAAGAGTATAAACAGATAGAATCCCGCTCAAATTCCTATTACCACACAAAAAACAAGCTCCTGCTGCAGTTAACAAATAAGATTTACTATATAAGACCACGTAGTCCTACGTCACCATTGCGTACAACCAACAATCAATACGAAACTAACGATTTTAAAATGGCTCACCACTTTAGTAGCCTATTGGTCCCAAGCAAACGATTAACGTACCCTATTCTAGTTGAAATTCTATTACTACACTATGTTTGTTTTGATTCGCTATGAAAGTTTGGCAGATAACATCAGGGGTGTGTGGATTCATGCAGAACATGCAGGGGTGAGTGAAATAGCTTGGGACTGCTTGGGACCGTTGTTCTGGTACTGAGTGAGCCAAAAATAATAATGATTTTCTTCGGGACCCAGTGGTCTTAGAGTTACCTCTATGGTACAACCCCATAGGATTGTCCTTTGTAGTTTTTTCTCTAAACTTACCTATCGCAACAAACGACTCTTCCTGCTGCAAAATGGTCTTGATCGAATCATCCGTAATAGCCATGCCAGAATTCTTTAGAGCCATGACCATTGGCTGATACCTCTCCGGGAGTCCAGCCAGTAGAAGGACATCAACAAACCGCGTCTATATCGGAAATCCAATCTCGTTCAACTGGTGACACGTCGAAATCATCCTGTTGGCATACGCTTCCATAGTTCCGCACGATTCCAGGTCGGTCCTTATCAGTTTATAAAGCAAACCAACTTCCCAAGTCAAGCTTGTTTCCTCGAACGCTTTGGTGATGTTCATACAAGCCTCCCGAGATGTAGTTGCGTTACGAACATGGTAGTAATTCGCCGGTTCTAAGAAAATGATAATCTTTCCTTTTGCCTTCTTGTCCTGTTCAGGTTCAACGGGCTCCAACGTTCCGTCTTGTTTTCTCTTGGGTTCGATTACTTCCCATCAGTCTTCGACTTCAAGATAGGTTGGGACGGCAAATTTCCAAGTGGTCCAATTTTCTCTACCGACCAACCGATCGATTCCGAGATTCGTACTAAAGGCTGACTAAAAATAAATTGGTACGCCTCTCGCGCGCCACTAGCACGCCTCTAGTGTTGGGAATCAACAATCTTTGACAGTGGATTGTTTACACTTCTATTCAGCTTTCCATGCTTGGTAATGGCGGCCAGTTTGTATGAATAAATGTATCCTTCACTGTGCTTTTTGACACTAAGGCTCTGAACCATTTGGTGGATTATTTTAACTTTTGGTTAAAATTTGACAGATGGAAAGTTATCGATTAACCCTGCTATCCGAGCGTGGTTACTTCTGACAGACAAGAAGTTAAATTTTGACAACCTTGGTTAAGTTCTTCTCAAAAACCGGTCGATCGATAGCACAGGGATTTTCGAACATAGATAATAACTTTCGAAATGTCACTTTTAACCACGAGTTAAATTTAACTCGGCAAATGGTTCACAGCCTAAATGGAGGTTCGGATCCTGACCGTGTTTTGACAACACAAGGGCCGCATTTTGATCGATGACGAAACATACGTCTAACTCGCCGTTAAGTAGCTTCCTGGTCAAAAGTTTTACATCGCAACTAGACGTGGGGATGTGCCGGGAAGATTCAAGTTCATGTTTGCCGAAAAGTTCGCGAAGAAGGTCATGATTTGGCAAGCGATTTGCAGTTGTGGCCTGAAAACGGAACCATTCGTCACATCCTCGACGATGACATCCCAAGTTTACACCGAAGAATGCCTGAAAAAGCGTGTATTGCCGTTCATCCGCAAGCATAGGGGAAAGTTATTTTTTGACCCGATTTGGCCAGCTGCCACTACTCCAAGGTGGTTCTGAAATGGTATGCTGCCAACAAGATCGGTTTTGTCCCCAAGCTAATGAATCCTCCGAATTGCCCGGAATTTCGACCACTCGAAAAATACTGGGCAATTTCAACTTCGGTGAAGCGGCGGGGCAGTCAAGGACATCCAGCAAATGCGGGCAAAATGGAAGAAATGCACTGATTCCGTGTCCGATTCCACTGTGCGGGCGCTGATGGGCTCCACCAAGAGGAAGGTTCGAGATTTCGTTCGAACAAAAAAAATTAACCATCTAATGCTGTAACTTTGAAGTTTTAATAACAGTACTGTAAAGCAACCATTAATGGACTTTTTAAACTGATTGAATCACGAATTACAGGACTTTTTGTGCGTACCAATTTACTTTTAGTCAGCCTTTATTCGCTATTTTAACCGATTTTTCTGGACGTATAACCACTTTTAGTGATAAACACGTCTGGTTTAGGTGAACAGACCTACCAGCCTACTTGTTTCCGTTTCCTCACAACACTGATAGATTTATTGGAATTCCAATCGGAACATAGCGTCTTTTCGATTATTCTTGTCTCTTTACTTCACATCACCCTTAAAGAGTTGTATCCAATATTGTTCGCAGTATTGAATGCAACATTTAAGTTCGTGAAACGGTGAAACATTTCCATTAAAATATATTGCTGGTTGCAACTAAAACTGGACCGCTCCAATGTGTGATAAAAAAGGACTTTTACGTCAAATCGTTATGTTGTCTTTGGAGCACTTCATAAAAAAAAACGATTTGACGTAAATGTGCACTTGTATCACACTTTTCTAATAATTGAAAACGCGCCTATTGGTCCAGTTTGGTGTGAAAAGCGCAATACGTCAAGATAACGTCATCGAAGCATGAGTTGAATTCTCATTACGTACATACATACAGTTTCGTAGACTACTGTGATCGGTTTCTGATTTGTTTATATCTTTTTGTTGCGATAGTTAATATGTTATTCTGAAAGCCGCTGCAAATCAACGCTTACTGTGATACAACAGAGCAAAAGGTGGACATTGTTTTGCCCAAACATTGGTTCAATTTACTAAAGGCCCCTATCTTTTCCAGTTCCTCCGCTACATACCATCAAAAGAGACATCAACTCTCACACAATCACAATTTCTAACCGGTCAACTGATAGATTGCCTGTCGAACTACCTATTTACATTCCTCATACTTCGCCGCTACTGTCCTCGAGCAGAAATTACACAATCATCCTCGTACCTCGTATCGGTGCAATATAGTGCGATAGAGCATCAGTCTACGTTCGGTGATTTGCTCTTCTTATATCCGTTTCAATTATCAGTTCCCACAGTTCAATTGACGAGCAGTCAAAAATTCACAATCATTCCCCCTCGAGATGTCGTCCCTAACGAAGCTTCACAGCAGCATTTTCCACCCAACGTTACGGAAACTCCAGTGTCAGGATGTGGACATTGCGGCACACAATCTCATGTACCCGGTGTTTTTGGTGTGAGTATTTTACAACGTTTTGTTTCAGTGTACTGAGCAAATACACGTTAAAATTAAATCAGGACGTTTTACGCAAAATAAAATAAGCAATTCTCATCCATTTCAGGGAAGACGATGAAGCAATTCAGGAGATCACGAGCATGCCTGGCGTAGCCAGGTATGGTATCACCACCCTGAAAAAGCATCTAACCCCACTGGTCGAGAAAGGCCTGGCGTCCATCTTGCTCTTCGGAGTGGTCGAAAAACTCCCGAAAGACCCCTCGGGCAGCGGTGCAGATTCTGCCGACAATCCTGTCGTCAAAGCGCTTCCCCAGCTGCGCCAGTGGTTCCCGGATTTGCTGATCGCTTGCGATGTCTGTCTCTGCCCCTACACCAGTCACGGTCACTGCGGAATCCTCACCCCCGACGGAGTGATCGATAACGAACCCAGCATCCAGCGGATGGCGGAAATCTCGCTGGCCTATGCGAAAGCCGGTGCCCACATTGTGGCCCCGTCCGACATGATGGACAACCGCATCTGGGCCATCAAGAAAATCCTCCGGGAGAACAAGATGGAAAACACCGTCTCGGTTCTGTCCTATTCGGTAAAGTTCGCTTCCGGCTTCTATGGCCCGTTCCGGGATGCGGCCAAGTCGGCACCGGCTTTCGGAGACCGCAAGTGCTACCAGCTGCCACCGGGATCGAAGGGGATTGCCAAACGGGCAGCGGTATGTGTGCATTATAGAAATTAATAAGATATGGAACGCGCAGTCTCAGAAGCGATGTTTTTGGAATTTTGTTTTGATTCTTTGTTGTTTGACCGGTCCGGACGCTGAATCGGAAAGTGCATAGCCACGTGACTTCGGTTATGTACCGCCTGCTGCATATGCAGCGGGCGACGGCACGAGCCAAATGCCAATGGCTGCCTTCCGATTGAACGGATGGAGGTTAGGGGGTAGTGTTCTTTGTTTTTCTCCGTTTGAGACTGTGCCCTTGGGATGGGGGGAAATTCTAAAGCGATCTTCATTTATTCAACTCTCAAGCATCCTTTGTAAATTATAAATCCGACCGGCACGGGGATGAGATTTAATGCTGTTTATTTTTTTTATTTTTTTCTACCACAACCCTTAGAAACGAGACGTCGAAGAAGGCGCTGACATGTTGATGGTTAAACCGGGCATGGCTTACTTGGACATAGTCAAACAAGTCAAGGATGATTATCCGGAACTGCCACTGTTCATCTATCAGGTACGTTTATCTGTTATTTCCTAAATATTGCTCAGAGCAGAAAAATGTTTCTTCAGTTAAAGAAAATGAAGTTTTTTTTTGGCAAACACTAGCGCACCTGACCTTCCCTGCAGTTTAACTGCAGAGTAGAAATAAATCTACTTTTGAATTTTTTGATGGATGGACAACTAGACTTTTTTCTGACAGACCAGGAATCATTTTTCACAAACACCTGCTCGACAATCGGACGAAATCACTTCAATTTGACACTACGAAAATAAATTATAATGTTCTAAAATCTCTATTGTTGATCTTCCGATTTTCGAGAAGGTGTTTGTCAAAATTGATTCCTGGTCTGTCAGAAATAAGTCTGGTACAATAGCAGTATTTGAAAATTTTCCATCTGGCAAACTTAAGTGAAAATTCTCCAAATGGAACACAGCCTAAGGTCAAGAAAATGAAAATATAAAAAATAATAATATTATATTCAGCACCTTCTGTGAATTTTTGATAACATTCAAAAGCAGTTTTTTTTACGCATCATTTTTGGTCAGCTCGCCATTTTGTATTAAATAGCTAAATGAATATAATGACGCGAATTTTTCGAAATCTGAAATGATGCGTTGAAAAAAATACGTTTGAATTTTTTGAAAATGCATTAAAGTAAATTAAACAAACGTTTTTCAAAGTTAAGAAATTGTTAGTAAATCCTATATACAGAGATTCGTGGAAATATTATCAGACGATTTGGCAACGTGATTTGTTTTGTTTACAAAACCTGCCAACACTTGCCGCAGAGAAAAATGTTTCAGCTTTGTGCGTGACTTTATCGTTGTCTAAATTTAACGTTTCGAAAATTAATTAAGATGTTCGAAAATCCCTCTGTTGTTGATCGGCTGATTTTCGAAAAGGTTTTTATCAAAATTGATTCCTTTTCTGTCAGAAATAAGTCTGCTGGAATAGCAGTTTTATTTGAAAATTTTCCATCTGTCACCACCATGAACTATTTTTTTTTTAAATTTCGAATAACATTTCTCAAGTACTTTTTCAAAACTGAATACCCATTAAGCTTTTTTTCAAAAGTGTAATAGAATATGGGACAGTTATGCATATAACGACAGTGTACTTCTATAAAGTTTTGCGTGGTTCCAAAAATTGCTAAGAAATTTGCCGAACTCCTACAAAGTTTTCTGCATGTCTTAGAAGAATATATGCGAGAATATCCTTTAACTTCCACAACGTTTCCTGAACATTTACAACGTTTCCATAAGTTCAAGAAAATTTCCTCTAAGGGAGCATGCATTAAATACGTCACGTAAAATTTAGAGAAAATCAACCCTCCTTCCCCTTTCGATACGTTTTGCATATACCTACTGCTTTGCTGGTTACAGATTCGTAAAAACATTAGAGCGTGACATACTTGATGTATGCTCCCTAATGAGTATGAGCATGAGCATTGACGACCATACATTTCAGTAGTCGCTACTCCGAAATTTGCACAAAGAACCATTTGAATTTGGCTTGGGATTAGCAATCCATTCTCAGTGTGTAAAATCCGGTGAATCCTTATTTTTCAGGTCAATAACGGCGCCGGCCACGTCCTTACTGTCATCAGAGAGGGAAAGGATTGTTATTCCGACACCCGTTGTCACTAGACTAAATCTCCACGGTTGTCACGGGAAGAACGTTTTTGTTAGTGACTTAGTGGGAAGGGTGAATTAGATCTGGATTCACATTGGAAAGTGAAGAGATCTTTTAAAGCCTAGGTAAGCAAAAGACGCGACCCCATCAACTAAGTAATGTATAGGAGCTTGGGTTATAACCCACGATCTTCTTCTCAGTAAGCTAAAACGGTCGCTCTAAGGCCACCGTGCCCCTTACATCACAACAAGCTACGAACAACGATCGTTCATTATCTGTTACAAGAAGCTATTCAAATGATGTGACGTTCCCGAAAGCAGTTAACAATGTTTTTCAAACTGGATCACGCATACATGCTTTCCGAAATTCCAAACTCAACATACGCAACAACCGAACTACTCACGACGCGCGAAAATCAAGATCAGTGATAACAAATTTATAAGCATGTCTACCAACTAGAACAAACTCACCAAATCCAGCCATAATCGATGTCCAATGGGGTGGCTTCACACATTTTGAATTCAAACTGCATCACCTCTGCACTCATTTGGTTCAGAAATGGCTGCAAACGACCCTGATCTCTAAAGTTCCACGACGAAAAGATGCTACCACTTTTTTCCCTGTCCAAGGATGAGGGGCTTGATGATGATTTGTCAAGTGCCACTATGATTTTTTGTTGCAATTTAATAAAATTGTAGTTTTTCTCCAGTTCATTGATTTGAAAGGTTCATGCGAGTTAATCTCACGGAGCCGTAAATTGTAGTTTTGTAATAATTTTAATATTAGCATAAAATAAAATAGTAATTTTAAATTCGTTTAATTTGTAATGCTAAGGTAAACAGTTTGCTTTGAGTGTAAAGTTAATTTATAAGAAAGTTCTAACTGTTTTTTTGTACTTCGAAACTTGACGGGTCATACCTCTAACATAGTAGCAGTGACAGTGTCGCATGTCCTAACAACAACTGCCTGCGACTAGTGTTCGAGGGGCCGACAGGGCTGAATACGGGTCAATACTAACAAAACTCTAACACTAACATGACCCCGAAACTAACGTTCATCCACTGCACTAATAGTTATAATGTAGTTGTACTTTCCTAATAACCCATCTATCACAGACAAACAGACATAACACTCGGTTGGACAGGTTGTTCATCGAATACGCATTTGACGGTCAATTTGGGTGTTTTTGGTTGGTGGTGCCGCCACCTGTGGCGCGCACGGTCGGTTCCCTTGCGTTTGACGTCTGCACACTAGCGCCATCTGTTCAGCGTACTATCCATCACGTGATACTCGACAGATGGCGGTAGTGTTTTAGTGACTATGTTTTGTGGAGAAAAATATTAAATGTGTTATTTCTGTTTGTCTGTGCATCTATGTTTCTTTTTCGTTGTGTGTGTGGGGGGGGGGGATTGGTTTATGTAACCAATACTAATACCTTTCTTTCTGTTCTTTTATTCGTTTTCTATATCCCTTCACCATTACCCCATATCCCATCATTTTGACGAGAGATGAGTTACTTGCATGGTGCATGCCCAAGTCGTACTACAGGATAATATCAACAATCAATACGAAACTAACGATTTTAAATTGGCTCACCACTTTAGTAGCCTATTGGTCCCAAGCAAACGATTAACGTACCCTATTCTAGTTGAAATTCTATTACTACACTATGTTTGTTTTGATTCGCTATGAAAGTTTGACAGATAACATCAGGGGTGTGTGTATTCATGCAGAACATGCAGGGGTGAGTGAAATAGCTTGGGACTGCTTGGGACCGTTGTTTTGGTACTGAGTGAGCCAAAAATAATAATGATTTTCTTCGGGACCCAGTGGTCTTAGAGTTACCTCTATGATAATATGCTGAGCGTGGTTCTATCACAAATCGATAGAACTGAGGTATAATGAGGTAAATTCTACACAGTATTTTAAAGGAGCCAACTCTGAGCAGGTAATAATAGCAATTAATAATCAAACAACCATAAAAAGGTAAGAATGAATTTATTTATTTTAAATACAGTAATGACCCGATTTTGTCAGCCCCTCCGCGCTTCAGATTTTTTTTTCTTTCAATAATTTCACATAATCATAAATCTAAATTTTTCTCATTCGTCATTCGTTAAGAGGGATATTTAAAGTATACTTTGGTGCAAGAAGATTACTGAAAAAGGGCATGGGTTTTGTAGAACATTGGAAAACATTTTCAAAAAAGGTGGTTGACAAAATCGGGAAATTACTGTATTCAATTTACATTTACATGATTTATCACATATTTCCGGAGAGCTTCGAGGTTGGAGCGTAGTTGCTTTTGTAGATGGGCACGTCGTTTGTCGGTTTCTCGCGGATTGGGGCTCAGTCAGAAAAACTAATAACACAAACAGGTAGAAGAATAGTTCTTCTATGATTTGTTATAGTTTGTTTGCAGGATTGTTCTTTTGTTCGCGGGAGGCCGACCATTGACGTGTTTGTTTGCAGGGGCGATTGCGCCCAGATCTCGGGGTTCTCCGGATTTATGGTCGTAATCTAATACACACAGTTGATCACAATACGAGCCTAAAAGCTGCAGTGACCTAGTCAGCACCATAGCTCGAGTCGTCTGAAAGTATTGTGTATCGCATGGAGAGCCCAACCGAGATTCTAGCCTATTAAAACTGCAGTTGGTCAACTCTCGAAAAAAAAAAAAGAAAAGATGCTACCACTTTTTTCACCTCCATTTTCGTGACGCATATGGCAAATAATTCCATGATAGATGTCCAATGAGGATTCATGAAGTATGCATTCAAATTGCTCCACCGTTGCATTTCTTGGGTCCAGAAATTGATAAAATAAAACCCATCAATATTAACACACTACAATAAATATTGCACGATTGCTTTGCTTATGTCAACAACAGCTTTCATAGATGTGAAAATGGCAGTTTGGACGATAAGGTTGAGCGAATGTGCAAACACTCCAAATGAGGTACATCGAGAAATGTGGCAGTTGATTTCATATTTTAAGCATTATCAGTTACGAGAACTGCAACTTAGGAATTGATGGAAAACTTTGTCAAGACTGATGTGATCCATACAGAAATATTTCTCGCCGTATGTCTGCCGGGAAATTCTGAGTATTCCAACAAAACATTTTTGAGCGCCATTTTAGAGTCAAATGAGCCGTTAACGCGTAAAAGCTTGTGTTATTCATGCTGCTCCAACCATCACATGTAAAAAACTGCTTGAACATGGTCGAGTGACTGTTTTTGCACTGCGGATCTCAATCTTGTAACAGGCTATTTGGGAGTGTTTTTTCTGCTGGGAAATTTATAGGAAGGACATAATAATCCTATACATTTTTTTTTCGAATTCTGTGTCTCGACTAGCGAAAAGGGGTGAAATTCCTTG